TGAGATCGAGCTTAGTGGAGTGCGTTGGCAACATGAATTTTGCGAAATACGTCGAAATATTGGAGGAAGGACTCTTGCCACTTTATTCCTCGGGTTTCGTGGACAAGAACATAATGTTCTTCCAGGAAGATGGAGCACCGTGTCAAACTGCTAGAAACACACAAAAGTGGCCGGAAGAAAATGGTATCCAGAAGTTCTCCTGGCCGAGCCAATCTCCTGACATGAGCCCCATCGAAAACCTTTGGGCTATACTCGACCGGCAAGTCAAGAAATAACCAAAAAACCAACTTCGAAGAGCGATCTACTCCAAGTTTTGAAGCAAGAGTAGGCGAAAATCCCACAATCTAAAATTGACGAGATGATTCTCACGATGCCCCAAAGGATCAACGAACTCCACGAAGCGAAAGGAAGATCTACTAGATATTAATTAAATTATAAATATATCAATTCATGTGAATATGACTGAAAAATTTCATTTTTTCTGAAAAGGTGGTGTATATTTACTTGTGCCCACGCTGTGTATATTCCTTTATTTCTCAACGGCTCGAAATATAAAGGATATATTTGTCTTGGAAACTGCAAATCCTTGATATGAACACATTTTTATGAACTGAATGTATGAATATGTTGCGTTGAAAATGGTTATTATATGCCCTTCCCAAAAGCTTCCCCATCACGCTGCCTAAGTTCCACCAAACTATAACTTTGTATCGGCCTGTGGATATCACATAACTTATTGATTGCATATTTTAAAAACCATTTTGATATAATGTATTCAAACCGCTGTATTTACAATTACAAACATAAAGATAGAACTAAGCATAATACCTTTTATAATTTCTTAATTATAGTTTATGATTATATTCGTATTTCAATGATGACATGTCTATATCGTATATTTATTACCAGGAATAGCAAACTTACGAATTTACTACGGGAAGCAATGGGTAGCTCCATCTGTCGAACGACCATGATCGCCCACGTATCTGATTCCTCAGAAAAGTACTGTGAAACGTTGTCTACAATACAGTTGGCCAACAGGCTTCACAGAATTTGGCGGAAGAGAGCGAAAGTTAGTTAAAATCGTTGTTAATTCTACTGGTGTATGAAACAAAACATTTTCAGTAGTTTCTATATACATCTGTTGTACGTGTTTGTTATTAGTGATTTTGAATGTAAGCAAGAGTACAAAATAATGTTGATTAAACTAAAAGCTTGATCATTAACCCAACATAATTATTCATTGGTAAGCGAGAATAATTTCTGATCTATTACAAATTAAAGTATAAGATTTGGCTGTGTAATGGCAGCTTTTAAAACATGAATATGGTAAGCTGTAATTTAATAGATAAGTTTTACACGTTTAATGTTTTTCGTATATTTATTCTGTCAAGACGTAAAACATAAAACTACTGGATAGCTTTATTTTTTAACTTTTGTTTGTAATTTCAGCAATATATGCCCAAAGCGTGTGGAGTCAATAACAGAGACAATGGGGGAGTATGTAAGCCTTGTGTTAAGTCTGACGCTGTAAGTGAAGATGACTTCCCCTCTGGCAGCAGCGAACTTGACTACACCTCCGGAAGTGAGCAGTCCTGCGTCACGGCCATATTTGTTGGAGAACGTTCACTGAAGGAAGACACAACTAAAATGTCACCTCAGAAACAAAACAAGTCGAAAGTCCCAGCAAAAAGCTCTTCGAGCACAGAGTGTCCTGTCTCAAATAAAACTAAAGATCAAGAGGCTACATCGCTTTTATCCACCAATTGTCTTGCAAGTTCTTCCAAACCGAATACGTCTTCCAGTGCTGATACCAAAAACCGTACTCACAAAGTTGCTGGTAAATCTTCACAATGTAGGAATTATTCAATCATTCCTTTCAAAATGAGTGTACCAAAATATTGCACAAAGGGAGAAAGTGGTGTACATCGGGGTTCTCACTTATCTGCTGGTTGTTGTTTGACCGATCTTCAATCGTCCTCAACATCTGCTCAATACGCTGGAGTCCAGTCACCTCGCAGAGTTAATATCAAGAGGCGTCATCTCGTGTCCAAAGTGGAAAATAGGAGTCCTAATCGATCTAGTAGTCAAGCAAAGCGGGAAAACTATGTTACAAGTGATGAGATCTGGGTAGATGGACCCCGATTTATTAAACCAAAATTCGACTCTCGCACTTTACAACAGTTGCAATATGAACAGTGGGTAGATGGTCCAGCTCTCCATGATCACTCGAAGGAGTACAAGAACAAAATGATAAAAAAATGGGTTCAGTTGCACAGTCACTTACAACATCATATTTCTGAATCTAGACAACCAGAAGTCTGGATTGACCTACCTCCAACTAGAAACCAATTTGAAATTCAGATTTGCACTAAAACTGCACAAACCTTAGGTACGAGACCAAAATATTCATGTGACCAATCTAATACGAAAAGTTCTGGTTCACAGATTGTAGAAGATTCTTCAAACAAAAGAATGGTAAATGACAGCAGGGTGAGCCAAGAAGTGCTTATATCAAAGAAAAAAGAGGGTGATTCCAAAGAGACAGTTGGGCTCAATTGTTCTGAAGAGACTACAACATCAGTTGAGGATGCTGATGCTACAGAATCACTAGAAAGTAAAACTATATTTGAAAAGGTTCAAGTTACCTCTGATACCCCGACGTGGAAAAGTTCACAAGGAAGTATTCGGGCTGAAATAGATAGCACTGTCGACTATTTGGAAGCAGCAAGTAGTGTTGATATTTCAGAAACATCGGATCTTCAGACTAGTGTTTCGACAGATGAAGAAGAACAAGATTGGCCTATTGATCAGGCTGATGAATGTTCTGAAACCTCTGATACTGATGAGCTTCCTGAAATGAAAGACTCATGTCTCCAAGTAAAAGAAGAAGATATTCTAGCAGCTTGGCTCGAAAGAAACGACTTCGAATCCCTGGAAAATTACGTAATTGACGAAGTTCCAATAAAGCATTCTATTTTTAATGTTTTGCGTGTGTCTAGTGCAGAACATATCTCTGATTCAGTAGTTGCTAATAATGATAGACTAGAAAGCATTAGCCTCCCAGAAGAAATCAGAGATGATGATGATTTCTTGAGTGACTGGAGGATATCACGATATCATTGTTCTCGACATATGAATAGAAATGAGGTTATTAAAAGAACAGGAGAATTAAGCTTTGCCGTAAGCAGCGATGTTCTAGCATCAAAATTGAAAAGACTAACAGAACTACGTCTTCAGTCTCAAAAGTTAAGGAATAATAACTCTGTTTCTGGAGTATCATTTTGTGATACACATAAAAGGCAGTCTACCATGCTAAGCCCAAATCAGCTATACAATATTCCTGTTGTTAGTCTGCAGCAGTCACCAAGTCAAGACGACATAGATATATTTGATGTTCTAAGTGTGAAAAGTGAACCTGCAGATTTGGAGATGAGCATCCAGCCAATGAATGGGTTAAGACTCGAGGCTTTTTACAAGGAACTCGAACACAAATTTCCTCCTTCAGATATTTCTTTAATAACACACTCCTCTGAAAAGTGCAACACAAGTAAAGAAGATATTGAAAATATAGATCAAAGTAGTTGTTCACCTAATAAAAATACTCTTACCAGTCAAATGTCAATAAGTTTTTTAACAAGTGAAACCAGGAAATGTGAATCATGTGGTGACATTATCACAAGTGATCACGTTTGTAAAAACGTTGATGTTGCAAATCAAATGCGTTCTATTCGACAACCGGATGGATCATCCAATCCAATATTAAGTAATCATCCGTCTGTAAATAACCTGTTGGACTACCCATCATACAGTTCAAAGAGATTCGTTTCAAATCCCTTTCTCTTAAGAAACAGTGTTTTGGCGAGTCTTGATGAAATAAATGCAACAGACTCATCTTCAAGTAAACCTCGGGAAGACAATTTTCCTTATAATACAAAAAGTAGTGTTACATTCCCCGAGAAACAGCGGAATATTCTCCAAAAAGATAATGTATGTGCCAATCAAGGGTGTTCCAAGGAGAATCGCCAGCTTAGTATAAGTATTAATTCAAAATCATCGAAACCCAACAGAAAAATTTCCTCACAAATCAGTTCAATTTCTACACTAGATAGCTGTACTTCCCATCAAGGATCTACTTCCGTAGAACATACTTTCAAAAAGTCTAAGGATGTATCGGGAGTAAATAAACAAACTCAGAAGGTTGAGCGCCATCTGAAGTTCACAGATGAAACCAAAACGTTTGGAAAATCAAAATATTTTCAACTTCCAAGAAGTGTGTCTTCCACGACTGAGGAAATTTCCAAAAGTGAGCGAAGCACAAAGAATAGGAAAAGCAGTCTGAGTGTTACTAATCAGATCGAGAGTACTCAGAACGTATCCATTGCATTTCCTTCTCCATACTCCAAAATTACTGAAGCTAAACGGGGGCGAATTTCAAGCGAACTTAGTAATCTTAGCAGCCAAGCATTACGGAGCGAAAATGGGGTGCCAATTATAAAAGCAAGGAAAGATTACCATTATTCTGGAAACAGTAGTGGTTATGAGAGTATGATTCGAGATAGTGAAGGAACAGTGGCTTCTTCTTGTAGCCGAGATTCAGAAAATGAAGATGTAGGAGAAAAGAGACGAAATACAAGAAAAGGATCCAAGAAAAGATTGCAAGGTAATTTCGGTATGGTGCTTTATCTAAGATTGGTGAGCAATAAATTCCCAGACATAATTAATTTACAATGGAATATTTATAACATTATTAATCATTTGTCTAATCCTGTAATATGTGTATGTTCAGAAAAAGATTTATACCATGAATAAGTTTAAAGAAACATGTAAAACATGTAATTTCTTATACCTCCTAGAAGAGCATTATCTAACTTAGATAATTGGTTTGGGTATTTTCAATCTGAACAGCACCTTATGCGCAGACTAAATGGACAGTTCAACTATTTTAGTAATATATTGGTCTTAATCTCACAAGAAAACATCGTATATATACAGACAATGACATATGTTATTTGACATACCACTATACAGTACCTTCCAAGTTAATTCTGGCTATCAAACAGCCCTCACTTCCCATCAGAATGTTGTTATTGTTTGTTATTAAGCACAAACCTACACAAAGGGCTCTCTGTGCTCTGCCTACCCCGGGTATCTAAACCCGGTTTTTAGTAGTATAAGTCCGCAGACATACCACTGTGCCACTGAGAAACCCCATTACAATAAGTAAGATACCAGGAAAACGAGAGTTTCAAATTACAAGACTGACTTGTAAAAACCTTTTAAAGTTCTTTTACAAATAATTATTTTAATCTTTCTCAAATAAAATAGTAGTTCAATGAAGTATTTAAGATTCAAAATATCCTTTCATAAATCTTTAGCTTCGGTTCTAATCAGTAATTCATGAAAAATGTGTAATAACAAAACTACCAGTAGCATAATACTAGTTGTAAATTTCTAAAATTATATCTTTATCAAACCTAGGAATTTTAAATATTTTAATTTTTATCTAAGAAAATATCTTTCGATTTTAAACCATAATCATGATCAATACTTATTACTTAAATAGGATTCAAAAATATAACATTGAAAGAAACCCAAGTGTAACCAATTTCTTCATTTGAAGTTTATCAATGAGATATCTGTCACTCTTTATATCATTGTATATGAGCATCATTAAAATACTTGGTTTTGTAAAAAAACATGTGGTAAATAAATAAAAAGTTCAGTTTCTTTGGTCAACCCATTAGCTACAGACTAGCCTGAAGTTTAGATACCATATACATAAATACTTGGTTTTGTAAAGAAACATGTGGTAAATAAATAAAAAGTTCAGTTTCTTTGATCAACCCATTAGCTACAGACTAGCCTGAAGTTTAGGTACCATATATATATTCACAAGTCTATGTTTACACTATATTTAAACTAAATACATTGAAGTAAGATTATCCATTTAAGAAAGAAGCGACCTGAAGTTCGATTGATATTCGATATATGCGACATATGTATGCGAATGTCCTTCCAGCAAAATTATGCGGCATTCCAAATAAAAGTTGGGGCTTCAATACTCGAATTTCGTCACTCTAGAGTTTTTCTCATAGGAGCGGCCCGGCATGGCCAAGTGGTTAGTGCGCTCGACTCGCAATCTGAGGGTCGCGGGTTCGAAATAACGATCAAAGATATTGAGATTTGCCTGAGTAATTGTTAATTGTTTGCTTTTATTAATAAGGCTTCTTTGAGTATTTATTTTATTTTATTTATTTTTTAATGTCAGGTTCATGTTTTAGTATGGTGACATTCTGTTCAGAAAAAAACTGTGATTGTTTTGGTTCATATTTTGTTCATAGACTTTGAAAGAGTTTTTGGTGTTTTTTCAACCTATTGTTCAAGTTATGTCCTGTTTCACATATGTAAAAGGCTGGGCCAATTGTTACCCTTTATTTTGTAAATGTTACCCTTTGGGGTGAGTTCGTCATATCATTTTCTTAACATTTGTTTAATTTTCATTCCAGGAGCGAAAACGAAGCTAGGCGTTATGTTAAGGTTATATTTATGTGCTAGTCTTTTCCAAATTTCTGATAGAGGTATCTAATATTTTCTATATATATGGGATAGTTTGGACTTCATATGTTCTGAATCTAACGCTGATTTCAATCATCTCATTATGGATTTTTTTTTATTTGTTACTAAGCTCCTACAGGAAATAACAGTGCCCTTCTATTATTTTCAGGGTCCAATCACAGAAGTCGTTCTGCTCCAGCACGTTCCACGACGTTTAACACTTCAAGGCCACAAAGTCCTTCCCCCGTTAGTAGTCAACCCCGGCCACTTGGAGGTCGACATCACCGTCATGGGAGGCGCAGAAGAAACACCGAGGAAGAATTAGGCTGTACAGGATTACTGTGTTGCAGACTGATGGATCTGTACTCTAATTAGATGTGTGTCTACCTTTTGGTTTCATCACTTTGGAACATTTAATACAATGTAAAATTCATGGCATTTCCTCAGCCTTGTAGAAACAGGCACCAATTTAATTTTCTACAACTAGTTCATAATGTATAAATGCATGTTTCCCTATGAAAAATATAAGATAAGCCTTTTTGTAATAGTTACTTGTAAGTTAAGCTGCATATTATTCAGTTGTCTGTAGTCCTACATAAGCATAAAAAATAGATATGTACTTAACGTTGAACAGGATGATTGTGTTTATTAATCACCAATTTTTTTACGTTTGGTTTTTATTTCTACGCTTTGCTAAAAAAAAAGACAAATTTCATAGAAATCAAGAATATGTGGCTGACACACCATCATCATTTTTTCCTTCCTTTAGTTTAACGCGGTGTGAAACCACGATGTTCTGTTAATGAAGTAATGTTTCTTGTTTGTAGCTCCTGCTGCACATTTTTAAACCGTCGATGCGTTATAAGAGTGACGTTCAAATACCACTATTGGGTCAGATAAGATTAGTCTAAGAGTTGATAGTGGATGCTGTTGACTAGCTCGATGCCTATCCTCTAGTTTATCAGTTAATAATTAAGAACGTCTATGCAAAAATAGCTCTTTGAATAGGTTTGCGGAAAGATTCTAAAAGAGACAAACAAACAAACATACATTATTTCAGGAAGTCATATAAAATATTTCACACAATAGCGAAGAAATAGTTGTTTTATCGTGTAATTAGAAATGCTTCTTTACCATTGGTTCAAATTTTATAATTTACTGAAGAGAAAAATAACATAAAAATGACTTTTCTTTGTAGTAAAAAGGTGCTTATAAAATAATTTTGATATGTAAAGTTCTTTAACGTCATTATTTCGTTTATTTTTCATAATTCTTGATTTGTAAATTACTAATTGTGACAAAAAATGATATTGTCTAACTTTTTTTTTTTTCATAATTGTTAATTTATTTTTTGTTGGTCCACATTCACTGATCGTTCTGTGTCCCCAGGCCATAAGTTTATTAATATATTTTCTGTTGCCCCACATTTACTGATCGTTCTGTCTCTCAGCCATGAGTTTTGTAAATATATTTTCTGTTGCCCCACATTTACTGATCGTTCTTTTTCTCTAGTCCATTCATGAGTTTTGTTAATTTGTTTTCTGTTGTCTCGCATTTACTAATAGTTCTGTGTCTCCAGGCCATAAGTTTTGTTAAATTATTTTCAGTTGTCCCATATTCACTGATTGTTCGGTGTCTCCAGGTCATGAGTTTTGTTAATATATTTTCTCTTGTCCCACATTTCCTGATCGTTTTGTGTCTCAACTATGATTTCTGTTAATTTTTTTCTGTTGCCTCACATTCACTAATTGTTCTGCGTCTCAGCCATGAGGTCTGTTATTTTATTTCCTGTTGTTCTTCATTCATTAATAGTTCTGTGTGTCCAGGCCATGAGGTATGTTACTATATTTCCTGTTGTCTCACATTTACTGATTGTTCTCTGTCTCCAGACCATGAGGTATGTTAATTTATTTTTTGTTGTCCCACATTTCCTGATCGTTCTCTGTCTCCAGACCATGAGGTATGTTAATTTATTTTTTGTTGTCCCACATTTACTTATTGTTCTGTGTCTTCAGGCCATGAGTTTTGTTAATATATTTCCTGTTGTCCCATATTTGCTGATTGTTTTATGTCTCCAGGCCATGAGGTATGTTAATTTATTTCCTGTTGTCTCACATTCACTACTAGTTTTGTGTCTCCAGGCCACGAGTTTTGTTAATGTGTTTACTGTTTTTCCACCTTAAATGATAGTTGTTTACTATTAATTTGTGAATTTTGACTTTCCGATTATACGAGACACTTTTTTTATTGATTTTTCATTCTCTCCACGAAAGCTATTTATATTTTTTACTTTAACAGTAATATATGTTTACAATTAATTCAACTCTGACCGACATTGAGATTAAATTCAGTCGTTTGCGTAATATGCAAAGAAACATATCAAGCATTATAAGACGTTTGAAATTTAAACAGTAATTACATATACATAAGTTGTTATATTTTACCGCACATGGCAAGGCTTCTATTCTTAGTAATCTATTCTGTATAAGTTAATTAAGCGCTATATATTTTTGGTATTTTAAGTTATCCGCGTGTGCTTACTTATTTAAAACGGAATTTATTCTCTTGTGTGCTGTTTACCTTGAATCTCTTGATAGCTCTGTTGCAACATACGAGACATCGTCGCGGATTCTCAGTTTATTATATTAATGTATCATGTGCCTTCAGGAAGTTCTCTTGATGTTGTGAAAAAAGTGAGTACAAAGGTAACGATAAACTTTTACTGTTTTATACAGGATAAGCTGTAATCGTCTGAGTAGACAGTCAGAAAGTTGTCATTTCTAATTTATGTAATGTTTTAAACACTGTAATAAAACATGTTAATTAACCCAAGATTTCCTTTTTTTTCATCTTCTTTTCTTGTTCAAAGTACATATGTTTGTCAACCAGTAAATCAGAATATAAACAAGTTAGAATCCTCAATAGCCCTGGCACTTGAAATCCTTTTAGACAGGATTAGGCTATGTTACGTATCTTCTTGTTTGTTAATTTCCCGTAGAAACTCTTTCCGAGAAACTTCAACGATACGAGTCCTTTCTTAATTAAAACTAGTTTATTCTTTCTCGATACAACTTTGCAATACACAGAATTTCCACAGTCAATACTGTTACTTCTCCGTTCGTTAGTTAATTTTCCGTAAATTCGTTCCGACGAAACTTTAGCGACACAAGTCCTTTCTTAATAAAACTGGCTTATTCTTTCCGAATACAACTTTACGATACACTTAATTTCAACAGTCGCTCTATAACAAACACTATGATTCTCAACGAACGTCTCACGTGCTCGTGCTCAACAATACTCAGTTCAATTACACACACATTGTTGCCGTCAATTTGTGACCGTCTTATATATACAAGACTACACTATATCTAGAAGGATCCCGAGATTTAAGGAAAGGACGTGAATGTTCGAGAACGACGTGGCGTGATACTAGTCACGTGACCTCTGCTGACGCAACAATACGTTTGCAATCTCGATAACAAAACACACACTTTATATTACCGTCACTACCGTTCGCTTGACTCAATTATCTGTCTCTATATCTATCTGTCTGCTATTTTTTATCTCCGCTTTATTTGCCGGGCTTATATACAAAAAAGAGGGCGCCTAGAACAGACTAGAGTTACCAGAAAAATCAAGATCCTTCGAGAATCTCATGACGTGTTACCAGCGTCACGTGACTTCCGCTGTCGTAACAACTATATTAATCTATGAGACCTTTTTATTAGCTATATTTTTGTGCGCAGCAATACCAACCGTGGGGCGCGCGTATACCCGATTCGATTTTATTACTCATCAGGATCTTTACCAGCATATCCTCAAATTGAAATTATTTTAGGCAGGATTGAGTAAATTAATTTATCAGATCAGGCCAGGCCAACTAATCGATCGAAAAGGTTTGACCTCCTGGGCCCAAAACTGTAATTAGATCTCAAATCGGTCAAGAGATGACGGCGCTATGAGCTATAAATTTGACATGAAAAAATAACAACAACAACTCAGAGCCTTTCTATGAGCCGATATGCTGCGACTAAAAATGTATAAGAATTTACATTAACACTTTTAGATGGGGCTTGTGTATTATATGACATTTACTGTTTTCCTGTGGAAAAATTGAACACTTTAATGTCCGAAACATTTTATTTTCTGGAATAACAGCAGATGTTGATCAAAAAAGAAGTTTCTTTTTTACTTCAAAACTGTAATGATCGTTAGCTATGTTGCGTCATCGAGTCACATGACTACTGTGACGCAACGTTTCTAG